TTTTCTGTCTGCCTCAGCTCTCTCTCCCTACTGCACCCTACGCCCTGCGTCCTCCCTCTTGTTCGTTCACCTCCGTTTCCTTGTGGGCGCGTCCCCGCAAGTAGCAGCGCTAGGAGGGGATGAAAAATTGTTATCTTATTTATGAGCACAAGATTAGACCAGCGGTAGAGCGTTTCGCGCCACTAACAGGCGTCGGAATGATGAATGTCCCTTGAACCGAGCGTGCTTCGGCTTACTCGCGAGTCGCGGTGTCCATTTAAAGGGGCGTCATTAATTAACTAATTAAATGAATGCACTGTAGCATCCACGGATTGACTGTGTCACGCTATGACAGCCGCGAAAAGACTAGAATGCGCGAAACTGTGGAGGGTTGACACGAAATACAAACGAGGCACTTGACACTTATATATGACGTGTATAATAAATTAACGAAGCGTTTTTTCTTGTCAGCTTAGTACTCGGGAGCCTCCTTTTATAAATTTATTTGTTTATATCACAGAAAATTTATGCACGGAATTACGATTAGCCTCTATTTTAATTATCAAGCTTGATTTATAAAAGCTGTTTTTACCTGTCATTTTGTTAATCCTAGACAACATTTGTTTATGCAACAGATTTTGAACAATACGCGGAGAGAGAGAGAGAGAGAGAGAGAGAGAGAGAGAGAGAGAGAGAGAGAGAGAGAGGTGGGGGAGGGAGGGAAAAGTATCGGAAAATATCTTATGTAAATTTTTAAAAACAAATTCTAAATTTCTCACGGAACAGCATTGGATACGGGGAATTACTCTTGCGCCATTACGAGCTGTGGTTCGTTTGCAGAGCTTCTCAACGATGCAGACAGTGCATTCGACTGCAACCGGCCACGAGTCCCCAGGAGGGATGCAACACCAGCTTATCTACGCGCCAGTTTGGAAATCTCAGCGTGGAGATGCGATACGTCTGGAGGGAAGGCTGGTAGACGTCACGTGAGGAAAGAGTAAGAGAGAGGGAGAGGGTTAAAGGGGGAGAGAGAGAGAGAGACGGATGAGGCGCGAGAAGCGGGGATATATACACGAGCTGAAGCTGGAGGAGAACCAAAAGGACGGGGGAGAGAGGGGGAGGATAAGGTCGCTTCAACCTCTCGGCATCCCACGAGGCCTCCGGTGTAATTAAGCGAGTGCACCCTCACATGTCTACGTACGTTCGCATCATGTCTATCCATCTAACCGTGGTAGGGTTGTTCTCTTCGTCGACTCGTCGTCCCTTATGCCAAGGGTCGAGAGATAAGGCCGCAAAAACCTTTGAAACCTCGGTACGTCCTCCGTGCCTACATCTTGTAGTCTCACACCAGCGAATTTAAAAACGTGCGTGTTGAGAAATACAACGTATCCGCGGGGAGCTCTGATGGCCACTTCCATCAGCACATTGTTAGATTGCGCATTATGGCGTGCCTCCTTGTTTCGCTGTAATTACTTGTGCGATTTGCGAAAGCAAAGTTCGCTATTGGAATTTCGATAAAACCATCGTTTTATGAATCTACGAAGAGTTTGCGAAAGACGTGAGAGCAAAGAATGAGCGAATCATGATCTAAATATTGCGCGCACTCGTCTGAAGACTTCCTCCTTCGACATGACATTCGAAATCTATAATTGAGGCAAAGGCAATGAACGAATATTACGGAGGACTGTGTACATGTTCGCGTGTACGTTATATGGTAATGGAGGGCCAATCATGCGGTAACTAGCCACCCTGGGGAGACGGTCAGAACTGCCACCCGGCGGTCAGCTCCCGTCAATGTGTCACTTACGTAGCTGGAATAGCGAACCCTCCCGATAGAGCATTACCGCTGAACGTGTTTTCCCCTCGATTGCAAGGACTGTCAGTTTCCTGTCTGGAACAGTCTGTCCACGCGTTTTAAAAAGCTGTGAGGTCGCCTCAGGCTTTTACAAACTGCAAACAAGTTTGATTTCTTCACCTCTTCCTTAAAAATTTTGAAATCATAGTTTTCAACGTATGATCTTTTCTAACAACGTATAGTATATTACAATTAAAGTATCACATACGTAACGTAAATATATATATAATAACGTAACAAGTATATCTTAAACCTCAGAAAAAAGATTGATTTTTCATGAAAACTATCGAAGAGCGACCGACATTGTCCGGGGGATCTCGCTCGACCGAGCGGATGAAAGGTTCGTCGAGGCGCAAAACTGCGTTAGAACTCGCATTAAAAGTTGGCGGATACGACGAGGAGGAGTCGGACGAATCGAAGGGTCGAGAAAGTACAAAGCGAGTGTGGCGGCCAATTCTTGATTCGGTGTCGTGGGCAACTTGACGAAGGTGTGCACAAAACTGCCGCAAATACCACCACCACCATCACGGTCCACAACAGCGGCAGCAGCAACGCAACGCTCACGTTCTATCACCGTTGATACGGATGTGCAATACCACCTTCGCCATCGGTCGAGCCAAGGGTGTATGGAGCCGCGAGCGAGCGAGAGAGACCAGGAAACAGGGCGATAAATAACTACAGGATGAAAAAGGGGGCGCGGTACCCTCCCGGGGCCCCTAAACCTAGACTACACACCCCTCGCCATCCCTTGCCGTCCCGCGGCGCACCAGCTTCGTATAAACCGCGCGCACGGGCCCGACCCCGACAATTATACCCTCGCACGCGAAATGTTTTATTACCCTGACGTAGAATGCTTTCGTACGACGAGAGTGGTTGGTCAATTGTGTGTGTACGCGAGTGTATCGATGCATTTGTTCGTGTACACGCACGCACGACTGTTGCCCGATGCAGTACGGAAATGCCTAACAGGACGTGTCCTACTTTTCCAACTTGAAAATCTCTGTCGAATAAAGCTTTCCGTTAGATTTAAACGTGATAATTATAAGATTGATTTTGTTTCTGGCAAGCTTTAACTGTAAGAAGCATGCAACGCTCGCATTGTTTCGGCGAAGGGCTGCATTCATGCGCTAATAGCGAAATTATGTAGCCCGCGCGTTAGAACTCTTGAGAGAGAGAGACACGAGCCTTTGAGAGCGAAACCGGCTAATTACGAAGCAAGCACCCGGTAAAGTCTTCTACCTTGGACTACGGCCTCGGAGGGATATACGAGACTGGCGGTGCTTGAGGGGATCCACTACTCCCAAAACGTGCACCGGATGACGCTTGATCTTTCGGCTAATTCTGTAATCCGGGCCGGCACTACCTGCTAACTGCTCACTAAATCGAGGATCCAATCTTCTCCGCTATCTTCGCTCTTTATCACGACAAATGGTCAGCGACAGTGTCTAAGTGATAGTTGAAATAGAACACGACTCTAGCGAAATTCAGTTCTCTACTCTCTTGCATCATAATACAAAAATAATAAAACTAATCTTCTGCATTTACAAAATGAAAGACTTCTCCGATCACTATAATAATGATGCTCTGACAAATTCTGTTTACAATACTTCCATTCTTGCTCTTATATTTACGCTTTCCGTGTGCCGAGGATATTAGCTTTCGTTTAGGAATTTAAAAAGTACAGATTACTTTTCTGGTTATGTAGTAATACAACGGCATGTTGTTATTAAAATTCCGAAGACACGTCCCGCGTGTAAATTGACCGTTAATTAACTGAAAAATGAACAAGCTGACGGCGCAGCTATTTACCTTCCTTGCATTCATCCCACGAGCCAAGTCAGCCCTTAGTCTTTGGTTAATCGGGTTAAATTAACTCAGTTAGCGCACGGCTGTTATGCCCTCGTAGTTAGCGACTTGTTATCCCGAATCAGGCTTCTCGTCAGGAACATTCGTGTGAAGCTCACATCGTAGTAAAGCATATATAAAATACGAAAATTGTAAAAACGCTATTGCGGATGTTAAATTAAAGACAGAAATGATAATTCTTTTGCCGAGAGAGTATAAGAAAGTTTAATCAATACGGAGCTTAAAGTATGAATAATAAAAATTGTGTTTTACGCGTCATGCAATACTTGTGTTTACAAGTGAAATATTGCTGTCTCTTTGTAAATATATTTCTAACAACTCAGAATTTTCGAGGAAACGATACAGTAAAACTTCGCTGCTCCTCATTTATCGGTTCGAATCGCAGCATCGATTTTTAAATTGCGTAATAAATAAAATTAGCAGCGAGGGTGACTTCCGTGGTGGGCAAAGGGGCCGTAATTGTAACTTCATCAAGGCAACTTCCCTCAACTTAATAAAGCTGTCTCAATTTTCGCCTCATTACCGAAACTCGTGCGAAATTTTCTTGTTCAATTTATATATACTATATGCAATAAATGAAATGTAATTAGTTGTTATTCTCGTTAATAAATGTAAATTTTATAAATTTATGCCTATTGCAATAATATTTCCGATTTATTTTCACGTTCAGCGTTACTACTCTTTTTGTTTCGGGCGAAACGTTTCATTATTTCACGAAAAATTACGACTGCGCTGCGTAATAGGACCAGTACATCACACAGCTTGCAAACGCGCGAAAAAATAACATTGGTTCTCTAGATTTATGGGCTTTTCCAACGCACGGCGCAAACATCGATAGAAAAAAATAATTCTAACTACAAGACTAGATAAATCTGTAAAGAAATAGTGGATAATAATTTGTTTGGGACGTTGCATTATACGTAACGTTATCATAGAAATCTAAATGCAAATTATGATTAGACGCCTACGTTAATAAACTTGAATATATTTCATCGTTGCAGTGATTTTTTCAGTCTCTTCTATAAAGATACTAAGATCAGGGAACGTTTTCAACACGAATACACATAGACACACTCTAAAAGAAGATAATTTCTACTTTATAATCACGCTAGCATTATTGCATATATTTAATTAACAATTTGATCGACGCTGTATAATCGTCCCTTTCATCTTCAATGTACGGAATGCTCGTTGTTAGTGTGTGCCTTGCACTCGACTTAAACACGTTCCCATAAACCGCGCGTAACGTCACGCATAATGTAACATGATTGCGTTGTGTACGTTTAGACATACCATTAGCATGGCGATTGACATATGCATCCCATTGACGACGCTTGGGTTCGAGGCGAATGTACCGGCGCAGCGTCGCACAGGTAGAAGTGAGGGCAGAATAGCGGTATCCACTCTCATGTAACTAATCAACCGGCTGTCGAGCCAAATCGTCCCCAACTGGCTCCCTCGGAAACGGGGAAATCCGGACGTACATACCGGCGCAAGCAGAACGGAGCAACGTGCAGACGTGTGCGATACAGCTTTATTACGCGGGGATCAAGAAAACTTTTTCCCGTGCCCGTCATATTTAAAGACGGCGATAAAAAAAAAGCGCACGAAAATGAAAATAAGAGAATTGTGTCGAACAAAGTAATTATGGAGCGCGCTTTCGTAGGAAAAGGAAACGCTTGGTCGCACTGTCGAGCATTCCGCGAAGTGGAAGGCGAGGGTCGGAGTTGATAAAGAAATAAAGAATCGTGAAAGTTCGCGTCGAACCCCGCGTTCCCATGGGGCCTTATGACTTAAAGTCTCCTTACTCCGTTAATTCCGAACATTAACAAAAGTCCCGCTAAAACTCGCCGCCAACTTTCCCGGCCTCTGGGGACCGAGCCGGACTTGTTAATGAAAAAAATACAATAAAACTCTTTCACGACGAAACTCGTCTCGAATTCTCGAGACTAGCCTGCTCATGCTCTGCAAAGAGATCTCCGTCTTACTTCTGCGTTCCTTTGGACAAAATAATCGGCAGTCGTAATCGAATAAAACGACTCTGTATGTTAAAATTTCAAGCAAACCGACTGTTTCGCGCGAGCACCGAGAAAGAAGTCATTTCTATCAAGTTTATCGGCAATTTATCGTTAATATAAAGATTAACTCTGTATTTGTCGGAAAGGATTCATGAGAAACAAGTCGCGAGTCATATCAGAGCAAAGAGAAAAATTGCAAAAGGCAAGAAGAGGGGGCATCGTCTTATACACGCGCGTGTGTTTGTTTCCAGTAAAATGCAAATGCTCCGATGCCCATTTTTCCACCACCCCCTCCCCTCCCCAGTCTGTTTCGCGAGTAGATTTAAACTGCATATTCTTTCCGAAGGGCGCCAGGCTTAATACCGAAGTGTCGGTGTAAACCGCTTTATGCTGCCGCTTTATGCCAACCGACCCCTTCGTTCCGCCACGAACGAGACCTCTTACTTATTCATTTATTCTGGCAAGATGAACTTTACGGAGATTTTAATGGCACTCCGACTTTCTTGATATTCGCGCGTAGGTAGACCTTTTAAATTTCGCTGCTGGCGAATGATGTATGCGGTGTGAAACAGCCGTTTCGGTGAAGATTTGACGCCATCTTTGCACGCGTGCCGTTGCCACGGATTCGGTGAACATCTCGTGATTCGCAAAACGGATTACCCTAATGAAAATCAGATCCTATCCTGCGTTTGTCGCGAGTATACAAAAGCAAGCGTCTCGCCGACTGACACGTGCGATCAATTATCGGTCGCCGTAATTACTCCTACGGAAGGGTTCACAGAAGGAACTGATTCGATAGGAGAAATCTTACTGTACATAAGGGTTGTTAATTCACTTTTGATAAATATACCCGAATGGATATTAGTGCCAAGAAAATTCAACCGTAATATATCAGATTTTCATTTGCGGATTAGATTTCGCTAATATATTCGATCGAAATATTTCAATATATAAAGATTCGGTGGAATCTCCTTAGTATTATTTTGCGAAAAGTATCATACAACACGCGAGCAATCTATAGCTATAAATTATCACCCACATCCCCCTGTCATTGCTGGGATATTCGATGATAAATGGTTCTCCGTATCATTAATCGTGGATCACCAGCTATTCATTTTTCATAATTCGTCGAATTGGTTGCTCAGAAATTTGTTAAAACTTCAGAAAGTGCGCACGACAAGAAAAGTGTTTTGCTACGTTCTTAGTTAACCGCGATAAATATTATTTACTACACACAGCGTAAAATAAATAGAAATAAAAGTACGAAGAAACTATAGTTTAGTTTTTCTAAAGGATAAAAATGCGTTTTAAATTTTTCACGGAAATTTCTTTCTAACGACGCTTTGTATTTTTTTACTTGCCGCTCGTAAATTGCTCTTTGCAGACGCTCGTCTATTCTGCCAACCTCGCTTACCGATCGAGATTCGATCTTTCCCCTTCGGGACGCAGCACGTGGCCTCGGAACACGAAGATAGACCTGGCCCAGAGGTGGCACACACCTAGTTTTGATTCACCTCATGGTATCCTGCCGGTCGCGGGGCTGACGGCGCGTAATTGTTCTCTTGTCTGGTTCTCGCACGGCATCCAACACCCGCCATCCCCGCGATTGCCTTCGCGCCAAGAATGCATAAACAGCCTCTTTTACCAATCCGCAATGCTGTAAAGCCTTCGTCCGCTTACTCTGACACCGATCCGTCGCTCCCACAAAAAAATCTAAAAAGAAGAAGCACAAACGAGTCACTGAATTACTGCTCATTTCCTTGCGCGGTAATTATTCAAATACATGACACATTAACACTATGCTTCATTGTATCTTTATTTCGAATCACATTTTTCCTCGAATCGCGCACGTTCAGCTAAAATGAAATTAGCACCGTTCTAAAGCTTTATCTAACTTTGTATTAATAATGAGTTCCACGACAAGTGAGCTAAGTCCGTTGCTTCTTTTTCTCGCATTAAAAAACTCGCAATCTCCGGACTCGCTACTTCCGTATTTAACATCGCGTCATTGCCGTCTCTGGAGTTTTACACGCATAAAGTATGGACGTAGCGCGACACGGCTCAGAAACCAATCAGCAGCAATCCGGGAAATTGACAAACGATCTCCTTTTTTTTTCTCCCCTCGCACGGTCGCATCGTTATCGGGCGTTCCTGCAAATCGAAGCGTCCAATACCGTTAATGGATTATTAATGATCGGCAGAAATGTCGCGGCTGCCGGCGCACCGTGCCGCCTAGCGGCGCGATTTGCCGTGTATCGGCCAGGATTCGGCGTCGTTCGGTCGCATAATTTCCCGCACTGGCAATCATACTGCGCGACGATAATTGGCACACGACCGACAATCGTCGTAATTTCGCGTTCCCGCTGCGCAAATTCTGACGTGTGACACGCGACGGATCGGCGCTCCTGGGAGGCACCTCATTCAATTAGCCACTCAGTTACTCGCATCACATCGCATTTACCCATCAGACTCCCGCCCGGTGAACTCTCTGACGACCCTCGCCGAATCTCCTCGTCTGCGCGCCGTAGGGGCCGCCGCGAATTCGGTTTCCCCGCGAATTCGTGATTTAAACTTTTCGCGAACGACGACGACGACGACGGCGACGGCGATGACGCGAGGGGGTGCCTTTCTCGGGCGAGAGTCTCACGTACCGGCAAGGAGGATCTCATGAAGCTGTCATGCAGCAAAACGGCTTTAGCTCGCGTGTCAGGACGTCTCCGCTATGCTCCGTCTGCGAAACTTGGTTAGTTTTCCTATCCGCGTGTCTCTTTCAGCGAGATGCTTTATCAAGTGCTTGTTAAATCAGCGGGAGAAATTGCTTTCGCAACGGTGACTTGCCTCTGTCTTGCGGGAAGAAACTAAACAACTTGCCACCGCATACTTGGCGTTGGACGCAAGATGTCATTATAGATGAATTTTTTACTATGTATTTACCGCGTAATATAATTGTATAGTACTTTACCGTCTCTTTTCGCTTTACATTTAAAACAGAAATTTATGAACCCTCTTCAAACAAACACGAATTTTAATCTCATGGACTGCAAGTTTTCTCAATTATAACGTTTCCATGTCGGGGACAGCAGACAACAGGTTTTTTTCAGGACCACT